TTATTGAAGATTTCAACTCCGACCTTGAAGCAGAACTCAGTTTAATAAAAAATCGTGAAGGTGTGATGCGCCTGATTAGAAAAAACTGCAGTCTTGCTAATATTGTGATTCTTGAAGCTGTTATTGAGCACTTTGAGATTGATGATGCTCAGAAATACATTGATGATTACAAGAGGGAAATGAAAGAATTTTGTTGTAATTTATCAGTTGATCTGTGCTTGAATGAGCCATTTGATGTAGTTAGGGCCAGTCCTCCTCTTAAATGTGAAACAGCTACTTATGTACTGGGATGGGAAGCTACTGAGCATAAGCTAAAGGATGTTACGGATATTGTATCAAAATCTTCTGGTAGATTTGTGAAGCTGGTCGACATCAAAAGCACTCAATCCATCACCATCACTTGCTCATTCCCTCACTCTCTCACTGGAGCTCTCATTATAAAATTGAGTGAGAATCTTGAATCATTAATAAAGAACCGTCTAATGAAGCTTACTGTTGGATACTGCACAATATGGAGGAAGCAAAAGATACAAGTATGTGTATAAATACTGTCAGTAATTATCATTATATACTGTATTATAAAGGAAATACAGGAACCACTGGAAGAGGAGGTACAGGAGATAAAGGAACAACCTCATGATACAAAGGTATAATAATTTGTGTTTGATTATTGTATTAAACTAACTTAATAGGAAGAGAGAGTAGCAAGACTGGAGGAGAAAGAAACAGAAGGAGCAACACCTCAATCAGTAATTAATCAAGGTATAATAATACATTAATATAATGGTTGTTGACCACTATTATTAACTGATGAATAATTATTATATTTCAGATATACTATCAACTGATACAAGTGCATCAATCATTAATAAACAATTAATAAAAGAAATGAAAACAAACAAACAATTAGAAGAAACATTAACAAGTAAGTATAATAAAACTTTATAATAATTATTATTGAAATAACGATGGTAGAAATGAGAGTAAAGGAAATTCAACAACTTCTGTCTTTACCAAGAAATACTAGTTCAGGTTAGAATTATTTTTATTATTATTTATTTATTTATTTATTTATAGCATCATACAGAATCAGAAGAGGAATGAGAATGGAAATAGAACAATTGCAATTATTATTAACAAATAAAACTGGTACTGAATCATAATTAATGTATGTGTTAGTGTATTATAATTATACTATGATAGGTTTACTGGATCAGAATGAATCATTAATAGATTTTAACAGAGAATTAGCTGAAGTAGAAGAACAGATATCACTAATGAGTGTACATTTACTAAGTAAAAAAGAAGTGAATGAAAAATATAGAAATATAATAAGAAGTATGTGTCATTATTTCATTAACTGATTGATATATTGTATCACTGGTATATAGTGAATAAACCAACAGCAGAATCTGTTTTTATTGCTCGTTATGACTATCATGCAATGGAGAGTGATGAAATATCATTCAGTGAGGGAGAGCAGCTGCAGATATATGAGAAGCAGAGTGGTTTTTGGTGGAAAGGAAGATCCTTGGTGTCTGGTAAAGAGGGACTCATTCCTAGTAGTTGTGTTTACTCAATGTTGGAGTCACTTCAATTGCTAGAGTTCATACTGTCAGTGGAAGAAGTGTCCCTTCCTATTGTACAGAAGATAAGGAATGATTCATCTAGTAATGATGAGAAAGCTTATCTTTTCTTGGAGACTATTAATGATGATCCTATTATGATATCTGCACTGAGGCAAGACAAGGAACAACATGATAAAAGTAATTACTTGTAGTTAGATATTGAAAATTTTTAAATGATATGATATGATTCAATATTCGCCCAAAAATTAAGATATTGATATCAATACCATACATGATGATTTATTGGCGAGAGTAATATTTGGCGAAATTACCTGTCGAAGATCAATTGGCAAATTTTATATTGGCAAATTTTATATTGGCAAATTTTATATTGGCAAATTTTTTACCACGTGCCATTGAGCATGCTCAGATCAGGGAACAATATGGCGGATTTTATAGTGACAATTTTTTCATTGAACTGCGGCAGCTGCCAATTAATCGCCAATATTAATTCCTCGCCAATAAATCATCTTGTATAGTATTATTGAGAAGTTATTAAACCACACCTTTTAACTTTAATAATACTAAAAGGGCTAAAAGATAGAAATCTTGTAAAATCTTGTCACAGAAATTCTTACAAATTCTTGCTTTAAGATTTCATAAGATTTTAAGAAGCTGTCAGATCTCCCGAGATCTAATATGACTATAATTTTTGTAAGAATTTCAAAGATCTTATGAGTAAAGGAATATGTTAGAAAATGTAAGATCATGCCTAATTAAAATCTTGAAATATCCCACATTGTGAACTTTGTAAGAACTAACATGATCTTGTTAACTTAAAATCTTATAAGATCTTACAAAATCTCATAAGTTTATGATCTTGACAAATCTGCCATGATCTTATGATACTGTAAGATCCCACATCACAGTATTTTCCTAATTAAAATCTTGAAATATCCCACGTTGTGAACTTTGTAAGAACTAACATGATCTTGTTAGCTTAAAATCTCATAAGATCTTACAAAATCTCATAAGATCTTACAAAATCTCATAAGTTTATGATCTTGGCAAATCTCCCATGATCTTATGATACTGTAAGATCACACATCACAGTATTTTGAGTCTTACAAGATCTTGAAAGATCTTACAAATCATGTGACGTCACAGGAAGTAATTGACAACCCACGATAGCCTTAACAGTAATGGCAGCATATAAAGAAACTGAAGTTTTAATCACTTTCAATCAAAAAAATCAATGACGTTCACATTCACATTTCACAACATTTTACACATGTATTATGCATTCATGCAATGTAAGATCTTGCCTAGATCTTACTGTTGCATTAATTTTTAAAGAGCATTGTATGCTAAAATACCATGCAAGAGCTTGAAGGAATCTTGATAACAAGATCTTCCACTATCTTACATGATCCTTGTTCCAAATTCAGGAAAGATCCTGTTAAGACTTAGTAAGAATCTTGAAAAGATCTTGCATTTGATCTTGCAAGAACTTGAAGGAATCTTGATAGCAAGATCTTCCACTATCTTACATGATCCTTGTTCCAAATTCAGGAAAGATCTTGCGAATTATTGTCAAGATTCTTGTCATGATCTTGTAAGAAAATTAACAAGATCTTGCTGGGAATTTTTACAAGGGATATAAACCTTAATATACTTCAGCTACTACATCTGCTTTGTAAAAAAGTAAAGTTTGGTAATTTCTGAGTTATTAATGCCATAGTTAATGAACCATTATAAAGGTTATGTAATGCGTGGTCATGGTATCAATATTTTTGATATTGATATTTTGATATATCACCCAGCACTACCAAAGCAGTCTATACATGTACATGCAATGTCATATGTGTACACAGATAGGGATACAAAATAGTTTTTCTTCTAATTTTATTCTGTACATACTTAATATCAAGAGTAGATAATACATTATAACAAACACACACATTCACATAACACATGCAGTCAGTCAGTGACAACTAGCTGTGTCTGTAGAGGCATACCCAGCGGGGGTTAAAAGGGGCTTGAGCACCCCCCTCATGGCTGGGATCAGAGAATTCTTTAAGCTCTGGTGTCTCACATCATTGCTAAGTGTCTTAAGAAAGTTCTTCAACACACTTGAAAATCATTTCAGCTTCAATTCCAGCATTTTCCAGTGCTTTAAAGGCAATAGGAAGCGGTAGCATGCCTGAAATTACCGTGACTTTGGAAATGGTGGAAAACATTATTTTAGTGCTGTAAAAAGGGTGTGACCAAAATTGCGGTGCGCTTTGCGCCCCATTAGCACTTTCCTCTTCCAATTTCTGGGTACACCCTTGGTCTGTATTTGTTTATGCAAGTTGTGTGTGCTTGTATATACACATGATGTGAATATGTGTGTTATTATGTACATATATGTATATAAGTATAATCCTTTGGTTTATATTAGGAGTCACTGGGAGAGTGTACTGGGGCAGTGACGGTGTATACCTTTACTCTCCATCTCCAGTTCAGTGTAATGAAGTGATTAGCAATAATTGTAAGATGATTGAACTTGATGACTTATCTACTAATAGTACAGTATTTCTACTATCATCAACTAAACTGCATACACTAAACCTGAGGAGACTTGTGATACTGTGCACTCCATTAACTAATGATTGTATCCAGTACTTGTGTTTACTACTAACTAATAATAAAACAATACAAGAACTAGGCATCAAAGGCCACTCCATTAGTGATAGAGGAGTTACTAATATCTGTCAAGCACTTGAACACAACTCTACACTTACCTCATTAAATTTTTATCGTAATCCTCTCATCACTTCTACTAGTGGACAGGCTCTTTCTCACCTCCTCCTCAATAACTCATCACTAGTTGAACTGGATCTAACAGAGACTTCATTGTCTATTGAGTCAATACTATTTATCCTCCAGTCACTAATGGATAATAATAAGATAAGGAGACTTATACTAGACAAGCGACACAAAGAGACTTGTATTAATACTTATCCTAACTATCACCTCATACAAGACAGAGTAGACTGGTGGCTATCAGAAATGACAAAGAAAAAGTAAAAGCACATTAATAATAATAATAATAATAATAATAATGATTATTTCTCTCTCTTTCCTGGTTTTTTGGTTGATGTTGTTTTGTCTTTCATTTTGTTTTTGTATAATAATAATAAAGTAATTTTTAATAAAAATGTTTATAAAAGAG